CATTTCCTCAGAGAGGTCTTTCCTGACCATGTGATCTCGAGGAACCAGAGCCTACCCACCATCTACCTCTCAGCCCTCACTGTCTTCCATTTCTCTCCATCACCTCAGCCTGTTTGCTGGTATTCATGATACTTATTTGTCTCTCTCATTAGACTAGCAGCTCAGTGAGGACAGGGAGTTAGTGTACTATGTTCATAGCTCTATGTCCAGGGCCTAGCAAATTGCCTGGTTCATATTACCCCAAACACCAAACCTGTTACCCCTAATATGCCCTGGAGCAGAACCAACCCCAATTTAGGAAAAAGACAAGTTTTATTAGCTGGTGGCACCAGCAGGGACTTCATAGCAACACAGGCTGTGATCCGGATACTTAGAGTATAGATTTTTACACAGTAATGCACACTCTGGGGAAGTCACATACTTTTCCAGGGGCTTTCCATGACTCAAGTCACAAGACAAGATGCAGATGTGGAGCAGAACCATCAGATAAAACAATAAGAGCAGCGTTCATGACATTCCAGTGATCTTCTTTCATGTCTGAACCGTCCTCTAGGCAGAATTGTCTAGACTGCCAGCCACATGCATTATATCTGCCTTTAAGCAGTACTGAAAGTTATTTAAAAAAATTCAGAGGCTGGGATGAGGAACAGGGAAACATGGCCATGAGTTAGGCTAACGACAAGCCTGAAGTAAGTGCAGTTAATGCTGGATCATAGAGTGATTTCAACTCATAGCAACTTTGTGGGACAGAGCAGAACAGCTCCACAGGCTTTCTGAGACTCAATCTTGTACAGAAGCAGACAGCCTTGTGCTTCTCCCACAAAGTGACTGGTGGGTTTGAACCACTGACCTTGCGATTAGCAGCCCAATACTTAACCCACAGCGCCTCAAGGGCTCCTTTGGTTCCTATGGGTTCTCAATAGATTCGTATGTTGAATGATTGAATAGGGATATTAAATAGGAACTTGCAGTTGTATGCCTGAGATGATCTGAAAGAGAGGTTTTATTATATCAGGATTGGGTACCAACGGTTTGTCCAATAATTCCGGTTGCCTTTAGTATTAAGATGTTGCCTTTCCCCTTCTAGAACGCCAGTGCCTATGGTTGGTTGGTGAGCTCGTCTACATCTCTTTCTCTTGCTTGCTTTTTTCTCCTTTTTAAATAATTTATTTCTCTTCTTGTCCAACCCTCAGTGGGTATTGAAAATAGCAAAATAGCATTGTTCATAAGAACTTCTCTTAGACAATTCATTTATTCATTGGTCAGGCGATTTTTGAGCACTGAGTATGTGCTGGGGATAAAGCAGATAAAAATTGCTCTGCCACCTAGAGCTTACACGTAGTGGGGTAGAGTTAAGCAATAAGCCAATAAATTAAAATCTTTATGGATAAAAGTACTGATTTTATTGCATTTGAAATGACTTCAGTAAATTGGAAGTATATTTAAAAAATCAATGGTATGGCAAGAGTGCACTCATTTGAAGTGGGGAGTAGAGGGTGGGGAGAGGATGGTGTTAGATCGGAGATGATAGATAGATGTAGATCTTTGGGTCAGATCCTGCCAAAACTTTCCTGTACACAGACAGTACATTAAGGCGGTCACTGGTGGACACAAAGGCTTAAGACTGGAGAAACCACGTCTCATCACTGTAAGCATGGTTAGCTTGGAGAAGCAAGTGCTTTGGGTAACAAATAGGCCTGAAGTTTTTCTGCAGACATACAAGTATGTGTGGGAAAGGCTATCAGGATTTGTCACCTTCTTCAGGAAGCCTTCCATGGTTACAATTTTCTTTCTTTCCCAAATCTGTTCTATAATGGTGGTGGTGGTGATTATGTGCCACCGAGTTGGTTCCAACTCATAGTGACCCTGCATAGGGTTTCTGAGGTTGTAAATCTTTATGGGAGCAGAAAGCCTCATCTTTCTCCCATGGAACGAATGGTAGATTTGAACTGCTGACTTGTGCTTAGCAGCCCAACTGGTAATGCACTATTCTACCAAGGCTCCTTTGTTCTTACATAACGTCCAGCAAATATCCCCTCTAGGATGCAGATTGTTCCTGTAAGAATTCATGCTTTTGGTTCATGCAGTTCCTTAATCTTTCAAGGTATGTTGACTTTATTTTTCAAAAGGAGCCATGGTGGTGTAGTGGGTTAAGCATTAGGCTGCTAACTGCAAGTTTGGTAGTTTGAACCGTCCAGCTGGTGTGAGAGAGACAGATGACACAGCCTGGAAACTCTCCTTTGTCCTAAGGGTCCATAGGAATCAGAATCGACTTGAATGCAGTGGGGTATATTTTTTCAAAAGTAAAAACCAGAGCAAGATATGCCCATAAAATTTATATTTTTGTTGCTAAGTGCTGCTGAGTCAAATCCAACCTGCAGCGACCCTGTATAGGGTTTCCAAGGAGCAGCTGGTGAGCTTGAACCACTGACCTTGCAGTTCAAATGACTTTGCAGTCTGACGCATTAGCCCACAGCACCACACCAGGACTCATAAAACATATATACTGTAACATTAATAGCAGCCATTGTTTGTAGTATCAAAAAAAAAAAAGCTGGAAACAACCTAAATGTTCATCTACAGGATAAAGGATGAATGTTAAGTGCTGTGGAATCGGTTCTGACTCATAGCAACCCTGTACAATCTTTGAGGGAGCAGAAAGTCTCATCTTTCTCCTTTGGAGTGGTTGGTGGGCTTATCCTATGTAGCTTCTGCGCTCCCCAAAGAATAAATGAATACTTTGATAGTATATTCATACTATCAAACATTTTGTTGTTATTGTTAAGTGCTGTCGGTTCCAATTCATAATGACCCTGTTAGGGTTTCTAAGGCTTTAAATCTTCAAGGGAGCAGAAAGCCTCATCTTTCTTCTGAGGAGCTGTCTGGCAGACTTGAACCACGGACCTTGTGGTTCACAGTCCAGTGCTTATCGTATCGTGCTCCCATCAGTCACTACACAGCAACAAAAACGAATACACACAGCAATATGGATGAAATCTTATGGATGCTACATTGAGCTAAAGAGATCAGTTACAAATGAAAAAAATAATGTACGGTTTCATTCATAGGAAATTCAAGAAGAGGCTAAATTAATTGATAGTGAGAGGAGGTTGTATCTAGGAAGGAGCTGAGAGAAACTTTTGAGGTGCTGGGAGTATTTTATATCTTGATCTGGGTGGTGGCAACACAAATGCATATGCATTTAATGTTTTCAAATGAGTGTATTTTATTCACTTTACCTTGGTAAAAAAGCAAACATGCAAAAAATGATAGGGCAGGGTCTGACAAAAGTAAGTCCTTGGAGCAGAGAGACTGACTGTTTAAAACAAGACTATCTTGGACTATTAGAAAAGCATATGATAACTATACATATAAAATGCCCAGCACACAGTAGGTTAAGGGCAAATGGCTGGGTTTATGTTTGTTTATAGAGGCCATATTCTCCAATGGACGGTGTACCATTCGGTTGTTAATACGCATTTACAATTTTTAGTTAACTGAAAACTCGTTTGAAAAATCAAGGAGTTGAAGTTTGTGTATATGTGTGGGCAGGTGCTGATTTAGAAATATATTAAGTTTTGAAAAGTCCTCTTCTCCTTCACCTAAACGCACTTGATTAACCTTGGAGCCAGCTGAAACGACCTCTATTTAGCTCTTTAGGGCTCCAAGGCTCGAGGAGTTGAACAAAAGTTGAATAAAACACATTCTAAACCTGTCTCGTCTTTCTGCAAGGACCCGCATCTCACTTGTCTTTACAATTTCAGAGCAAGCTCAGCGACCTGCACGCAGTAGTGATCACAGAATGGGCTGTGGACCATTGGTTCTCAAATTCGGCGGCACACAGGAATCACCTGGGGAATTTTACGTTTTACTGATGCCTATGTCCTGCCGTTTGAATTGCAAGGTCGGCAGTTCAAGCTCACCAGCTGCTCCTTGGAAACCCTATTCAGGGTCGCTATGGGTCGGAATCGATTCGACGGCACTTAGCAACAACAATGTCCTGTTTTCAGAGATTCCGATTCAATAGGCATACAGTGTGGCCTGGGCACAGGGATTTAAAAAGCGCCCCAGGTGACTGTAAAGTGCAGCACACCCTGAGAATCAATGTTTGGAAGTGTTCTTTCTAATTGCCTGACTTGCGTTCATGGCGCCGGCTCTCTCCCGGGTGCCGGCCAGGTGGACATCGGTCCCTCCTACGGAATCAATCAATTTGAACTTGAATTCTGCACCCGCCCACGCCTCTATGGTCCTTTGAAGTCCACTCTAGCACTCAAAACCGCCTTGGGTCGCAGCCGGTCGCTCCCTCTCTATGGTAGCAGATTTCCGGACTCCACTGGAATGGTACTTCATTCCGGAAGCGAGCCCGGATCCGAGAGGAGGCGGGACTTCCCTCTCGGAAGTGAACCACGTGCTTCCGCTTTAGCGTGTCTTGGTACCGGGTGAGTTTTTAGTGTTTGCCTAAAGTTGGGGCTGCGGGGGGGCATTGCGACAGACCCCTGGCCGTGGTGAGTGGCCTGTGACCCCCCCCGACCCTTTGGTGACCCAGAAGATGGCGGCGCCATTTCTGAGGTGTAGTCCTTGGGCCGCAGCCGAGCGCTTGGGTTCTGTGTATGATTGAGTTCTCAGGGCCCGGAGGGAGAACTCTGTTTTAGGGTTATCCGCTTGATTTCTCGGTTTTCTGGATCGATTTGACCCCGAGAGACAGGGCGTAGGACATCAGGGTTCGATTCCCGACCCCGTCAATGCCGTGGCGTGTGACCTTGGGCTAGGCAGTGCGCCCCCTCGGGCCTCTGTTTCTGCATCTGTGAAATGGGGCCGTAGGGCTCCCTGGGCACAGCCGCTCCTCCACGTCTGATATATCCCGTGAGCCCCTCCGCGACCTTTAGCTGACCCCCGGGCTGGGAGCGCGGAGACGCGGGAGGGCTGGTGCTGACAGCGACCCTTAACCCCCAGGACGAGGAGGCCGGAAGTTGATCCCCTTGCCAGGGGCTGGGGCCAGGATGGATCCACTGAGGGCTCAGCAGCTGGCAGCTGAGCTGGAGGTGGAGATGATGGCTGATATGTACAACAGGTAAGGAGAGCCGGCCTCGACGGCACTGTGTCCTTTCCGGGGGCAAATACTTTCTTTGGTCTAGGGGACCCCTCGCCCCTCATGACTGACGACTGATGCTGACGCGGGAGGAGGTGGAATTGGAAAGGAAGGCGGAGCAGGGAGAGACCCACTACTTCTTGCCCCGTGCAGACCCCCCAAACAGTTGAGCACTTTCCTCTCGACAAGTGGCAGCCCATTTAGTAATGACCACTTCTAAAGCTAGCATCTGGAAGCATTGATGGTTTTTACGATTCACAAGAATCCCGTGGGCTGATTTTATTAGGCCCGTTTGAAGGTAATGAATCTGAGGCGCTAGAGGTTAATTAAGAAGCCCTGGTAGCATCATGGTTCGTCCTCGGCTTCTCACTCAGTGGTCCCTGGTGTGAACCCCCCGGCCATTCTGGGGGAGAAGGATGTTGGCAGTCTGTTGCTGTCGAGATTGTTGTTGTTTGTTGTTCAGTGCCGTTGAATTGGTACAACTTACAGCGACTGGCAGTTCAAGCTCACCAGCTGCTCCTAGGAAACCCTGTACAGGGTCGCTATGTTGCTGTTGTTAAGTGCATTCGAGTCAGTTCTGACCCATAGCGACCCTGTATAGGGTTTCTGAGAAGCGGCTGGTGAGTTTGAACCTCCAACCTTGTGGTTACCCTATGGTGCCACACCAGATTACAGCCTTGGCGACCCTATGTGCAGTTCTATCCTAGAGGGTCGCTATGATTCAGAATCGACAACGGAATGCAAACATGTCAACAACAGAGGCCAATTAGCTATCCCCAGTGCCCAAACTAGTCAGACACGGTGCCCAGACAGTACGCCAGTCAGACTTGAGAACTAGTTCTTACACCATTTGGCAAATGATCCTGGCCCCACTGATGGCCAGCCAGCTGTATGGCCATGGGCAAGTTATTTTGGACCCTGGCAAATGGTTTCCTCCTATATAAAATAGTGATAGTAAGAGTAATTATTATGGTATAGCGCTGTGGGTTAATGCACCAGACTGCAAAGCCGTTTGAACTGCAAGGTTGGTGGTTCAAGCTCATCAGCTGCTCCTCGGAAACCTTATGCAGGGTCGCTATGGGTTGTAACCGACTCCACGGTACTTACCAACAACAAATGATGATAATACTTCAGAAAGACATTAAATATGAATGGGGGTGTATGGCAAGCTCTCAGCATCAAGCCCAATACGTAGTTGATGTTGTTCAGTGCCGTCAAGTCGGTTACAACTCACAGCGGGGACAGAGAGCTTCATCTTTCACCTGCAGACCCTCTGGTGGGCTTGAACCGCCTATCTTATGGATCATAGTCCAGTGCTGATTCTACAGAGCCACCATACTCCCCAACACTTAGTAACATGGCGATAAGTATCTGCTCTTTTTGCCATCTCCTACACTTTCCTAGCATAGCACTGCAGGGTTATGCGCTGGACTGCAAGGTCAGTTTGCACCACAGGGTTGGCAGTTCAAGCTCACCAGCAGCTCCTTAGAAACCTTATACAGGGTCATTGGGAGTCAGAACCAACTCAATGGCAGTTAACAACAGTAACAACAACAACACTCTCTCTTGATTGGTTCTTTTTAGGGGCTGTACAGTTGAATGGTTTTTAAAGTCAGACTGCCTGGGTTCATACCCCAGCTCCCTGGGATCCTCAGCAAAGTGCTGAGCCTCTCTGTACCTTAATGTCTTCATCAGTAAAATGGGACTAGTTAAGTTCCTATCCTACAGGTTATGGTAAGGATCGCTGCTGTTGTCTGCTGCCGTCGAGTCCATTCTGACTTGTAACAACTCCTGTAGGGTTTTCTTGGCTGCCACATTGTTCTTCTGTGGAGTGGCTGGTGGGTTTGAACCACTGACCTCGGGTTAGCAGGCAAGTGCTTAACCACTCCTACTGTAAAGATTGTGTAAGAGAATCAACCCCTATAAAGCACTTGGCACGATGCCTGGCACAGAGCCAGTACACGATTGCTGCTGTTAGCTGTGATCAGGCACGGCTGGACATGCACCAGCCCTGTGATGGCTTGTGAATCACACCAGGGAGATCCATGCGCCTTCAGTGGCAGTTTTGTTTTGTTTTTTTTTCCCCCCAGAAGTGAATTGCCAGTCCTTTCTTACTAGCTTGTCTTAGTCTAGAAGCCAAAACCTATTTAGTATCTTAACAACATTCAGGCCGCCACCGAAGCCAGGTGTTGGCAGAGCACGATGAGATGCATTGGCCAGGAATCAAACCTGGGTCTCCTTCATGGAGAGGGGAGTTTGCCCCTTGACACTCCTGACCCACCACTTCCCCCTAGTACTCCCTTTTGGTGTGCTTTAGACAGGGTGTCTCAGACAGGGTTTCTGTTCTGCATCTGCAGGTTTACCCCATCTTCTATTGGGGAGGTAGCAGGGAAGCCAGAGCAGGAATAGGTCAGGGTTCCTGGGATGCTATGGGATGCTGGGAACCAACAGTGTCGCTCTCCCCTCCCCCACAGAATGACCAGTGCCTGCCACCGGAAGTGCGTGCCTCCCCACTACAAGGAAGCCGAGTTGTCCAAGGGCGAGTCTGTCTGCCTGGACCGGTGTGTCTCCAAGTACCTGGACATCCACGAGAGGATGGGGAAAAAGCTGACAGAATTGTCCATGCAGGACGAAGAACTGATGAAGAGGGTACAGCAGAGTTCTGGGCCCGTGTGAAGGCCAGGCAGGCACGCTGGGCTGCACGCTGCCCCTTCCCACTTGCCCCCCATTGGGTGTCATCTGTGAACACTGTGTCAGGCCTCGGTTCTCCTGAGGGTCTCAGGAACCTGGAGTGAGGGAGAGTTCTCGCTTATTGAAGGCGCGCTGCTGGTCACACTGGAATTAAAGTTGCGTGTGTATGTGTGTGTATAAATATGTATATTAAAACAAACTGTTGACACCTATTACACAAAGTGGTGTGCTTGGCAATCTGGAGGAAAGACCCCGTATCAGCCAGCAGAGGGAGTCTGGTGTACGTTGATGGTTATGTGCTGTGGAATCGGTTCCGACTCATAGCGACCCTGTACAGGGTTTCCGAGGCTGTAAATCTTTACGGGAGCAGAAAGCCTCATCTTTCTCCTGCATAACAGCTGGTAGTTTCGAACTGCTGACCTTGTGGTTCGCAGGCCGATTCGTAACCATTATGCTACCAGAGCTCCTTTAATGATAAACGTTAGCAGTATACATATTTAAAACATGTAAGATCAATTGTATGACTTGTAGTTATTTCCTTTCAAAAGCCATGGGATTGTAGTTTATTTTGAGAATGGTGGCCACAGCCATTGTTCTCAAAACTCATCATTTTTATCTCTGCTGTTAATTTTGTCATCTATAGATGTCTGTGTTCCTAAAGTCTGTGGGTCTGCCGCTCAAGCCCGCCAGCCGCTCTGCAAGAGACAGCAGGCTTTCTGCACCAGTGGATTTAAACCCTTGGAAACCCTACCCAGGGTCATTATGAGTTGGAACCGACTCGAAGGCATTTAATAACAACTTGGTTTTGAGTGGTGTCAGGCGTTTCATAAATGATACAAAGGAATGATTTAAAGGGAATGTGGAGAGTAGATGAGCGGAGGGAAGGAATTAGCCAACCTCTTGGTTCTAAATGGCAGCATGGAGAAGTGTGAAGAGATTCAGCCCCGTGCTTGATGGCTCTTGCCTGGGTAAGTGATCAGGGAGGGGCCAAGTGGTAGCTATGACCATCAAGTGCTCCCCTGATTTGGGACAGCTGTCTCCTGCAATACCCAATGTAAACCTCCCATCTGGGGTAGGGAATAGCACCTCAGAGGTGGTCACTTGGTGGAGGTTGTACAAGTGGAGGCCTGAGCTGGTTCCCGCATGTGCTGCTTGACAGAGCAGGGGCCATGTCTGATTCCTGTCCCCAGAGAACTAGGCAGGTTTCCGGCAGTATCTGGCTCACCGTAGATGGGTTTCTGCCCCTGTGATAGTGGTCCCTGCATGATGAGCCCTCCATGGAGGAAGGTGATATAATTCCACCAGGTCACTGAGGATGGTATACAGGAGGCAGGGGCCTGGGTTTGAACCTCAGCTCAGAAGTTTTCTACTTGTATAATCTGGGGATAGGCATCCTGATGTGGTGTTGTGGGCTAAAGCGCTGGACTGCAAAGTTAGAACCTCAAGGTAAGTGGTTCAAACTCACCAGCTGCTCCTCAGATACTCTATACAGGGTCGCTATGGGTCAGAGCCAACTCGAAGGCACACATGGACAACCATCTAGGATGAGGCACTTAGCACTCTTAACCCATTTATAAAATGGTCGTATAAGTACCTGCGTCATTTGGGTGCTTGTGACAAATGTGTACTTAGGAGGGTGCTTGGAACACACATTAGGCTCTTATTATTGTTAAGTTTGGTGTGAGATGGGGACACCAGATAGAAAGTTTGGAAAACTTCAAAACCTTTGTCCATCTGCCTTAGGGGTGAGCAGAGAGCCAAAGCTTCTTTCTAGGTACTGAAGTGCACGTTCGGGCCAACAGGTGGCGCTGTCTGCACACGGACTCCCTGGGTGGTGGACAATTCCACAAGTGTTTAAGATTGTGGTGGTGGTTAAGTGCCATCGAGTCAGTTCCGACTCATAGCGACCCTGTGTGGGGTTTCTGAGGAGCAGCTGGTGAGGTTCAAACGACCTTGTGGTCCAGTGTCTATCCTACAGCGCCACACCAGGAGTCCAAGGAAGAGGGTTCCAAGTTAGAAGACATCATGTGTGTCCTGGTACAAGTTTGTCAAGGAACATCAAGAGTCCTGATAGCGCTTTGAACACTGAAGCGAGGTGTGGTTCCAGCTGGAGGGAAGATGGGCAGAAACCACAAGCGCTCAGGGACCCGCTCAGTGTGGCTGGGCTGGAGCACGGAGAGAGGGGAGGCGGAGTGGTGACAGGTATTTGAAGCTCCGTCCAGTAGGCAGCCAGGTAGAGAGTGGTGGATGATGGACTGACAGGAGATGTATTTGGGAGCCACTGAGGAGAGAGGTGGGCCAGCTCACACTTACTGAGTTGCTATTATGTATCAAAGGAGCTCTGGTAGCGTAGTGGTTACGAATCGGGCTGTGAACCGCAAGGTCAACAGTTCGAAACTACCAGCTGTTCTGTGGGAGAAAGATGTGGCTTTCTGCTCCCATAAAGATTTACAGCCGGGAAACCCTGTGTAGGGTCACTATGAGACTCCACGGCACAAAACAATATTATGTGTCATGTTCTTCAAGTTTTGTGCTAAATGCCTTAAAGGATCCCTGATGAAGCTGTGGTTAAGCACTAGCTGCTAACCTAAAGGTTTGGCAATTCAAACCCACCATCAGCTCCACAAGACAAAGATGTGGCAGTCTGCTTCTGTAAAGGTTTACAGCCTTGGGAACTAGGGACAGTTCTATTTTGCCCTACAGCATCACTGAAACAGAATCCACTCAGGACAATGGGGCAATGTTGTTTTTTTACTAAAGTGCCTTAAGTATTACATTTCAGTTGATTATAATAGTAACCTGATGAGACAAGAATGGTTATTTTCATTTTACAGGTGAAGAAACTGAGGCTGTGAACAGTAACTTACTTAAGGTCACATAGCAAGCAAAGTAGTCAAGTCAGGATTCCAACTTCGACATTAAGAGTCTACTTTTAACCACTCTTTGAAGAATAAACAGTCAACACTATCTCTTGTTGGCCTGCGCCATGAAGAGAGCTGTGGGAAATGCCCAAAGTGAAGTTGCTGCGTTCCTGCCCTCTGTAAGGAAATGCAGGGATGGGGAGCGGGAAGGAGAGACCCACATATAAAAGGGTTAGAAATACTGAACAGTTAGGCTCTTACTACCCATAGGGGTAGCCACAAACAACCAACCTTCCAATGTGAGGTGTGTTTTTTTTTTAACTATCACAGTTTAAATAAATCAGGAAAGGTGTCATAAAAATCTGGACTTGGTTTCTTTTGCAAACTTAGATCTGACAGCAGTCATTCTACACCGCTGTTGGCAGTGCCCAGCTGCCTGTCCCCCAAACCTTCCACTACTCCTTTCCTCCCTCCTTGTCATCTGCATGGCCTGTGGGAAAGCAGGTAACAAGGTACTGTGGCAGCCAGCCTCTAAGATGCCTCAATGACCCTGCCTCCTGGTGTTCATGCCCTTGAGTGATTTTCCCTTGAGTGTGGGCTGGACCTAGAGACTTGGTTCTGACCACAGCAAAGTGTCATTGCAAGGTTAAGTTACAGAAGGTTGTGTATCAGTTAGCTCCCTCTCTGGCTTTTCTCTCTTACTCTAATGACGCCAACTGCAATGCTGTGAGTAGCCTTTTTCTGAGTACCCAGATGAGGACTGTGTTTCTTTCTACAGCCCTACAGCTCCCTGGGCTGGTGGTGTGGTGCTGTGGGCTAATGCGCTGCACTGCAAAGTTGGTTTGAACTGCAAGGTTGCAGGTTGAGCTCACCAGCTGCACCTCGGAAGCCGTATACAGGGTAGATAAGGGTTGGAATCAATTCGACAGCATTTAACAACAACATAGCTCCCTGAGAGACCTGGTGTGGCTGTGGGTTAACGCACTAAACTACAAAGTTGGTTTCAACCGCAAAGTCTGCGGTTCAAGCTACCAGCCGCTCCTCTGAAATTCTATACAGGGTCACTATGTATAGATTCGACAGCACTTACCGACAATAGCTCCCTGGATCTCCCTCTCTTTTTCAAAATTGATTTTCAGTTTTTGATTGTGCTTTAGGGGACAGTTCCTGACCACATGGACCTCTCTATATTTCTTTAGCAGCATCCTCACAATGGCTGCTACATATAAGCCCATTCTTGTAGCCACTGTGCCAACCCATCTACATTACAAAGCTTGATGTCCCCGAGTTTTAGAAGGTTAGAAGCCGAAATTCAATACCTGCTCTGAGGGGAGGCTCTCTGTGAGCTGAAGGCAAAAATCTGTCTCAGCATCTCTCCCTGTGTTCTTCAATTCCTTGGTAATCTCCTTTCTGCCTTTCCACTGGTCCTTTCATTTCTGTGCCTAATTTCTTTTTATATCTCAAAACTGATTAGCTTTAAGATACTGGTACAGAGTCTTGGTATGGTGCTACAGGGTAAGTGCTGCTAACTGAAAGGTCAGCAGTTCAAACCCATCAGCTGCTCCTTGGAAATTTTATACAGGGTCACTGTGAGTCAGAACTGACTTGGACAGCACCTAACAACAACCAACAACAGGACACTGATGGCCTCACTAATGTAACCAAAGGACTCCTGGTGTGGCACTGTGGGCTAATGCATCAGACTGCAAAGCCATTTAAACTGCAAGGTCAGCGGTTCAAGCTCACCAGCTGCTCCTCGGAAACCCTATACAGGGTTGCTATGGGTCAGAATTGACTCGACGGCATTTAACAACAACAGCAATGTATCAAAATGCTATTCCCAGATGGCACTGCACCTGAAAGTAGAGTGGCTAGGATTCCAGCACATATTTTGAAGGACAGAGTTCAGTCCACAAGAGTGGGAACTAAGGCTTGCAAGAGAGTTGGATGTGGAGGGCGAGGCAGGTAGCAAAGTGATACCTCCAGTTTTGTGGTATAAGGGACCCTGTGGACACAAAACCCCAAACCCCAGCCATTGAGTCAATCCCATCTCAGGGTAATCCTATAGGACAGAGTAGAACTGCCTTATAAGGGTTCCTAGGCTTTCATCTTTCTACAAGGAGC